ATAACATGTGCATCCGATGCATAGATAGACGGATTCCTCTTTAGATTCTGCAAAAGTGGACCCGATCCTTTCACTTGGGCGCTTGTTTTGGTGTTCCTTTCAGCTGCCATCTTGAGCAGCCAACTCTCAAAGAGCAAGAACTGCCGCTGAAAGGGAAAATCTGCCTTTCATTTTGGGAACGTTTTTTCTCCACCAAAAGGCAACAAACATAGGGCAACCCTAGTGAGATCAAAGTAGATTGATTTCAAAAACACCTTCACCGAGCGTCGATTTGCTCCTCCTCGGTGAGCTCCGCCGTGCTTGGCACCTGCGCCGGCGCCTTCTCGGTCAAGGCGTCGGCGGCTTGGCGTTCACGTCGGTCCAGCTCCAGCTGCTTCAAGGTCGTGGCCTTGTTGGGGTCCTGGTCAACGGGGTCCGTCGACGCGGCCATGAAGGCCCAAACAAACCGTGTTCTGGGTAGGTGTTCATGTAAGAGCATGAGTGAATAGAATAGATTGATGGTTTTACTGCCAGTAATTAGCTATATATCTTGGCTTAAAGATCGTAGGATTGTGCAGGTCGTTGGGAGTAGTAGGGGCACTAAGGGTCTTGGCACGCCTTTGCTATGAATGTCATGGCTTACTTGTCAGTGGGCATGCACTGCATCAAAATCTTCGTGCTTCTAATAAATTGTGCACAACTGTCCCACCTTCAGTGATCCACCCCAAGTTGTTGAACACGTCCTCTCGCCCCTCTGATTGAAATATACCTCCGTAACTGCCTCCATAAGATCCTTTAAAGCTCTCTTCTGCTCTTTCATTTCATTGCTAATCTTTTGTGTACTGTGTAACTTACAACCATAATATGAACTTATTGTTAAATTACTTTTGATAAACAATGCAAACAATGATACAAGCCAACATGTGTGTGATAATTATCAATAACCTTTTATGGTGTTGTCCTCATTTCGTCGGCGAAGCCCAAGCCCCTCTTCTTCCACGAAGAAGGAGCGAATTCATACGCAAAAGTGCCAGAAAAGCCCGAAAAGAAAGCTCCACTGGGAGAAATGTATTCTTTTGGTATGTATTTTTCCATACCTATGCTTCCTTTGAACCCCCTTACTCCGCCGCCGTACTGGATGTCACATGATGTCACATAGTGACACGTGCATCCAACGTAAGCGCAAAGCACTCTCATCACTCTCCAGGACCGCGCGGTTTCGCCTGTGCCAACTTGGCCACACGCTTCTCCTGTGCCCACGGCCCCATCGTGGAGGTTCAATCAGACCCTGGGTCATCTTGCCTCTGGGTAGACTGACTGGTCTAATTTCTTTGAACCGGTCGGCCAGGCGTTCCGACGCCACACCGGCGGTCGGTCTCCCTTGCACCACCATCCCCCATTAGGCCCCAAAAAGGGACAAACCTCTGGGCACCTCAAGCAAGAACACCTTCACCAAGAACCATGAAGCTTCTGTGTCCTTTGATCAAATTCTGGTGTCATACACAGCTCTCTCACTTTGCTTGTAAGGGCACTGTGACACATGCCAGTTGCGCTCAAGCACACCAACGCTGGTCCCCTGAGGCCTCACAAACCCATCCGGTACGGGTGTCCTGCTCCTGAAGCTTCCCAAAGTGGCTCTTGGCCTCTAAGATCTTCACCTCAGGAAAGCCCCACGTCTTGATCTTCCCAAAACATGACGCAACTTCAACACATATAGTGGAGCTGCCATTGCAAGTGCACTGGGAGTTCAGAAAAGACTGCTCTATTTGTATATAATTACACTATATATATATATTAAGGTTGTTTAACTAGCTTAAATGGTCTATTGGTGCGATCACTCTGAACCAGATCCCTCCAAAAAGGACCACACATAGTGTTGATTCACAAACACACCAGCGTGGTCAAGCAAGGCAAGTTAGCAAGTTCACGTCTTTGAAGGATTGCGAACAAAAAAATAACAATAGTATAACAATAATCATAATATGACATTTAAATATTGTACAATGTAGGCTGTTGATGAACACAACCACCCATTTGGTTTGCAACACCTCTTCATATGCAGTTATTTTTAAAAGTAAACAGTCTACTCAATTGCATGTTTACATTACTGCAAGATTGCCTGTTTAGGACTTGTGCCCAGCCGGCCCAGCCTTGAACGACAAAGCCTTCGCCCGGCTCAAAGCACAGCACTCGAAAGAATTGCCACTTTCAGATGATTTGCTGTAGCTGGAGCCTCCTTCCCCTCCCAACATTTCCATACCCGAGGGCTCCAAGTACCTCCTCACAAAGTATTTGGACCCTCCAAACCCACCCCAAACACCTTCTGAGGAAGTACTTGGAGGCAACTTGGAGGTGTAGAGATAAGATCAATCATTTACCACCTTGTCCCCCCCTGATTCGGTGGGCCAAGCAAGCGAGTCGTGAAAGTTCCACGCCGTTCATTCCGGGGTGCCAAGTGCTGCGGGAAATCCAAGGTCACGGACTTGGGCAACACCATAAATTCACCTCCGAGCAAGTGGTCGCTCATGCCGTTTAAAATTGGTAAACATGCAGCGCCGGGATATCCACTGAACAACGTCTAATGTCAACATAGGATTAGCCAACCCCCCCTATTAGTCTACCCAGCGTTCAGGCCCCAATAATAAACTAATTTGAACTAGAATTTCCACAGTCACCACCCTCTAATAAAAATTTTGCTTGGCTGAAACCCCCCCCCCTATTAGTCTACCCCGTCTCCCACCAGGAAAAATATAGTTATTTGAATGTATTGATTTTTTTACTATTCTTCCAAATACTAATTCCCTTTCATCCCAACCCTTCCAAATACTAATTCCCTTTCATTTCAATTCTTCCAAATACTAATTCCCTTTCATCATCAGGTCATCCCCACTATTAGGGGGATGTGATCTCCAAAACCTCCAATCTCAGACCTTGTTGACCTTGTTGACCTTCTAGGGAGGGGGGGGCCCGGTGATTAATCCGACGTCGACATTAAAGAAGGTATGTGAGTCAGGACATGAGCATTGTTGTAACGATGCTATCCACAGTCAATAACTATCGAACAGGGTGAAATTTGCAGCGAAAGAAATTGACACCACCAGCCAAACCCACCCAGTCACCGTCTTGCTCCCAGCCCATGTTCTTCATGACGGCAATGCTTCCTTGGTGGTGGTGGTGGTGGTGGTGGTGGTGGTGGTGGTTTTGTGCGACATATCGCTTTCATCTGAGGCTCAAGTGACCATGCCTGAAACCAGGCCAAGCACCGGTGGCATTGTATATGATATCAATATCAATATCTCACAAACCCTTTGAAGTCTCGTGTCGACCAGTTCACCCAAAAGGACAAGTTCCATACAACAAACATGCCGCTTTGGGATCCCTCTTTCATGAACCATGCTCACTTCATGTCAACCCCAACCCTCCGACCGTCCGTCCGACGTCTATCGCACGATGGTTCACACCGAACGGAGCGGTAGGTCCGAGACCGAGGCGAGTCGCCCGGCATGGAGAAGAACGGCGCCAACTTCTCGTTGGTCGTCCTGACCTTCCGATACTTCTCCTCCTGGGCGATCGCGTACCGTTGCGGCTCCACTGAAAACGGTGAAGGACTGAGTAAAGGAACCTGTGCTCATCCAGGTCCAATGTTCATCCAAATCATCTTCGGATGCGGCGGAAAGGCACGCCATGGCATGCCTGTCCCTGCCACAAAGGTCTCTCTCGAAGGGATTCCATCAAATACCATGCAACACACACACACACATTCACACATTTGGCGAATACCGAGCGACCCCCTCCACCCCGCTACATACATCTACAGTAGGAGTACCTCCAGCTGGTTTGATCCAACTGCCTCTGCCCGCATTGGCCGAAATGCCCGGCCTTGGGGTTCTGCGCCGTATTGCGGGTGATCGTTTCGAGCAGGTCCAACCCCTTGATCGCCCCATCTGCCTTGAGACCGATCAGCACGACCGCCATGACGATCAGCGGCTTCAGCGGATCGATCGGGCCATTTAGATGGGGCTCCACTACTAAAGCACCGAACGTGGGGGGGGCATGAAAGTGATGTCTACTCTGAAACCACTGTACGTGGGGAAAAGGGGGGATGAACGAATGTAGGCAAACGCCATGCTGGTCTCATAGGAGTGTCTGGACCATGAAATGCTTGGGCATAGCATTCCATATCGTGGAGAGTTAAAGAACAAAAGCCAACACCCGCCATGACTCATGATTCCGGCAAATATTCAAAACAAGATTAAAAAAACACAGACTTGAGACACAAACTAGAATACATAATAATCATAATAATCATCAAAAAAAACAAACTATAGAACTGTTGCCAGTCCCATGCCCCCACACTCCATGTATCTGTACCAGCTTCTTCAAAGTGACCTTTTGACAGTTCCTAAGTGACCCTTAGGATGCTTAAGTGACCTCAAACCAGGTTATCAAAAGGTCACTTTGAAGAACCAGGTATAGCATATTTACATTGACCCCTGAAACATCCTGAAACCACCCCAATGTAGGTAAATATGCCTGTCCCATGGAGTGTCCGGGATTGATTTGATAGACTTGAGCACCCCCCCAACTGCCAGGTCTTGGTTTGGAGACTCCCCAACCCTGCGTGAATCAGCCAAACTGCGGGAAGTGCCCGGAGGGACTTCTCGAAATCGTTGTACTCGTTGGCGAACTTCGTGGGTGGCAAATTGTAGTAGCTCATGGTGGCCGCCAGCCGCGCGAGCCGCGCGTCCCGACAGGCCCCCCAGTCTCGACCCAAAAGGACTGCGTGGATCAGAAGGGTAAGCTCAAGACATGCAAAAAGAGTGCCAGGATTTTGTTACAAGGGCTGCCAAGGTCCAACACAGTCATACACAGTCCAACACACAATCTAATCTTGTCCCCCACCAGTCACCCCCACCTGTACCACTCTTTGTTCGGCGGCCTTTCAGAAAACAGTCCACTTTCTTCTGGTCCCCGCCTCGACCGATCGACTTCTGCGCTGTTCGAACGAGAGACGGGCAGTCCTCACGCCCGCATCCGCGAAACATGTTGGTCACCACGAAGAACAAAGGCGCTTGCCCGACTGAGATCGCATCCGGCGGCACGCCGGAACGGTAGACCAACGTGTGGCCAGTGGGTGAAAGGATGCGCAAGACAGTGACATGTACTGGGTGGGAATGTAAAGGCACGAAGCAGTGGCCGAGTCGCGACATAAAATGTAAAACACACATCTGGGCTCACTGGTCTAGCGCATGCTACACTTCTGACTTTGTAGTATGATGTAGTATGAGGAGTTTGGAAATCATCCTTGAGATATGCATAAGAGCATAGGTCCCAACTTCGTCGCCAAACTGGACAGTGAATACCCTTCTCCAATGGGCTGTGGTGTTTCATTCGGGAGTTTCATGGAGGTCCCTTGGCAGAAACAACCGGGTCTAATGGAGTCTCAGAAGCAACCACTGCGAGTCGCCCCGAGCAGTTTCATGGATGTTGAGTGGATGCAAATCTGCTTTTGGTCGATCACATCACCCACAAACCGATGGAGATATACCCATGGAAATCCATGGAATCATTCTGGCAAGGCCGGTTGATTCTGGGGAGCTCGTCCAAAGTACAGGACGAGCTTGTCCCTCATGACGACGATCCTGAGATCGTCTGTGAAGCTGCAACTGGTTCATCGATGCAAATTCGATGAAACCGGTGAGAACCAAGCAACTCTTGCGGTCAGGGAAGATCAGTGCAGTCAATGGCAGAGCGCTCGTGTTAAGCTCATCGAAGATGCTAGAGCACTCCTTGCACCGGACAAGCCGGGGTACAAAATTCCAAAGTCAGTCTGCAGGGGGGGCAATGAAGTGACTGTGTGGAACTGGGAGCAAATAATTACTTAAGAAAACCACTTAGGCCATCTCTGATGGTCCGGCGATGATAAACAGTGACCAAGTCGTATGAATTTGGCCAAGTCTTGAGCCTCCATGGGGCGTTTTTTTGCCACCAAAGCAGTGGGGCCCTTGACCAAATGCCTCGCCAAGGCCTGGAGCGGCCTAAAGCCGCCAGCGGTTTTTTTAGACCAAAGCAGGTCCCGACAAAGGCCTTACCAAAAGATGAATTATATAACATATACTGTAGCTGTTTTATCTGGGGAGTCACAGACTACAAAAGTAATATGTTCTTTAGATTTCTTTAGTATAGGGGACCTGATTTCAGGGAACATCCTGAAATTTCAGTCGGTCAACAAATAGTCTTTGGACTTCTAGGAAATTCTAGGGTGCTTCTAAGGCTACTCCACATCAAAGAATGTGCCATGGCTAAGGGCCAGTGACACATCAAGATGATCAATGACGAGCCAACCAAATAAGTCCTTCTCCATGAAGTGTCTGGGCTGTCGATCCAACTCCCAACTCCTCAACATGACCTTAACACATCTAGGAATCCCCAAGGGGTGTGTTTCGACTTTGAGTCAGGATGCACCGCACCCATCGGATTATATAGAGTATCGGAGTAGTATAATTTGTTTAGTTTGTTTTCTCTTTTCGGTGTCTCTTAAGTCTCTGAGTTCAGTCACATGAAGGACCAACTACGACTTGCCAACCACCGCCACCGCTCGGCGCGCGACCGCCCTTTTTCCGGCACGGCCTGAGGCGTCCACCGGCGGACGGAGCGACGCCGCTCCCGCGGGGCGGACGGAGCGCGGCGTCATCCGGAGGAGACGCCCAGATTGGAGAGCTGCGACGGTCCAGTGATAAAGGTAAAGTCATCGATGGGACGAACGGCGTGCCACCAGCCGTGAGGCACGAAGACGAACATCCCGGGCCTTGGGAAGAGGAGGATGATGACTGGGACCCCCCAAAAGCGGTGACCAATCAGAGACAGGCGCTTGAGACTTTGGAGCCAGGCTCTTGAGACTATATTCTTGGATAACAAGAAGCCGCATAACTCCGAAAAGTAACGCCAGACTTCTGAGCGATCTCTACCAGATCCCAGATCTGGAAAGTTCGTAGATCCTCTAGGGAATGTTAGAGTCGCCCAAGTAAAGACTTCACATTTTTCCGGACCGTCTACCGTCTACCCCGTATAAGTCCTAGCCCGCTATAGACTTCACTGATGTAGCAATGCTCGCTATAGCCGCTCATATGATCATACATGTGCTGCATTTGCATTTGTATAATGTGAGTCGTACGTTAAAACGTGTATGAGGGAGCAATATCCACCCGGCTTAAAATGACCACATATGGCTTTCCAAAACATATAGAAGCCATCAAACCCAAGCAGCCAAGGCTTGGAGCGAGAAATGGTCACTCTCAAGTGCAAAAACAAAGGTCACCAAAATTAATACACTCCCTGAAACAATCATGGAAGTGGATGGCATGGCTCCCGGAAAGACAATTCCTCTATACAAACTGGTGGTTGTCTGCTTGGAGTGGCCGACTAGAGACCTGCACCCAAATCCAACCACATGTCCTCAGCATCAACTGGATCTCGGGCTTGTGGGAACTACGGGAGTCTTTGTCGGAGTGCATCTTCGGGGTCGTCTTCGGAACGACCTTTTTGAGCAGGTGCTACAAATTGTACAAATCGCTTGCCAGGTCTGGGAATAGAAGCCCTCCGAAGAGACATCCGGGGCTTAAAGGAACAGCGTGGTATAATGAGTAGGAACCCCTTGAAATGAAGGCCCTCGGCCTCAACGACCATATGGTACCCCCCCCATCCAGCCCCATCCCGACATCTTTGCCAGGAATCTCCAGGTCTATGACCCCTCCTTTCCCAGGAGTCTTGGCCAAGGTCTCCAAGCTCTGCCATGCATCCTGAAGACGTGTGGTAGGTGGCCTATCACCGGGCCCAGTGCATGGAGGTTACTTGCTCCGGGAACGTTGAAGGAGGGGGATTAAACATGCACAACATATCAACATACATTGTTTAAGCGTTGGCGGTAAGCTGGTTTTGGGTGCTATATGTGAGCATCCTCAAGCATAAAGACTCCCTTTCACCTGTTTCTTACTTTCCTACATGCCCCGTGACCTGGGTGCTGTGACCTGGTGCTAAATAGGGAGACCTCCCAAAGCCCCCCTGAAGAAGGGAAATAGACCATTGGGTAGGCGCCACCCTATACACACCCATATTTGATTTGCTCTTGTTAACAGTTTTGGCAACAACTGCCCAACATCTGCATGCACCACACAAATACAAAGGAAAAAAACATGCATATATTTAGAGTAAACCAGCACGTTGATGATGCCGACAATCCTTGGACCGTTCAGACTCCGCACATAGCAGGAGTAACTGGTGCAACACACCCTGCCACCTGGGGGTCAGTCACCTTGCCAGGACCCACACCGATGGAACAAAAACGGGTCCTCTTCTGGCAGAGTGCTCAAGGATCGCAAAGACTCGCAGTCCATATCAGGGCTCCGCAGGACCTGCTGACTGAGCAGGTTTCTGCCCCTAGAAACCTAATCTGCCAGGGACAAAGCATCCCCAAGTTGCACCAAGGGCGAGAGTGACGTTCATGAGAATCCAAGACGAACTTCTTTCGCAACGGCAGAAATGGAATGTTAAACAGAATTTAAACAAACAGGATCACACTCGTGGACGCCTCCTTCAACGCAAAGACCAACTCCGAATGTCGGGCGCTGACCGTCTTAGAACCCAGCCTTACTGCTGGCGGGGAAGACATCTGGTGCCAAAAGGATCACACGCTTACGGCCCACAACGCCACAAAGGCCTCCAACGGCCGCCGTGCCGGTTTGCGTCGAACGGCCGCAAATGGAGGTGACACAAACGCTGAGAGAAAAAAAAACACCTGGTGGTGGTGGTATTTGTATGGTCTGAATGTTTTCACTACCTACTGATGCGAGCTTTAAACTATGAAACACGGTCGCCAAATCACCTGTCAACCTGAAACCTTCTCTACTCATCCAGTGCAATAGATGGAAGAGCATGCTCTCCATGGTCCAGTATTCCAGTGATCTTTTCGGCGGTGCTCTCGATCAAGGCAACCAGACTGGTCTTAGGACTGCGCGTCAAAGACATTAGCCCACGCGGACCGATCGGGCGAGACCGAAGAAGGCACTCCGGGCCCCGTGCCCCGCCTGTGTCGCAAAGGCGTTTGCACTTGGAGACATCTCGATGGAGGGAATTGACGATCGGCAAGCCTTCTCGGCCGCACAAGGTGGCCTTGACTCCATTACCCACCTGGGGGGGCAAGAGGGAAGGGATGGGCACGGCATTCCTTGCCAGGCAAAGAGGCTGGTTTCCTCACAAATGGTCACAGGATGTCACAGGTGGCTCTGTTCTGCAATGATTGGAGGAGGCGACGGTATAGGCATGGGCCTGGGGGTGGGACGATGTCTAAGCAATGAAATCAGCTGGCACGTCTTGTCAGGGGTTGCAGTATGTTGCGGCCACATGCTGTCAACATAACTCAACATATGTGTGCGGCTCAGTATTCAACACCTCTAAACCATGCACGCCTGTGGAAAGCACAAGTCATCAAGTCTTCAACAACATGAGCGTGAGAAAGACTTGAATACATATAGCAAGCAAATCAGTTTTACATTGAAAAATATCAGCTTTATATTGTCAGTGAAATCAAGTGGAATCAAAAAATCCCACGTGAGTGTCAAACAAATAAAATGCATGAAATCCGCCCGCACCACAGGTGCCGAGGCGTTGTGGAGGCTCGCGTATGGCTTGGACCAAGCGTTGGCGATGCCGTCGTTGCCAGCCGGGAGACATCGCATTATTGACATTGCGGACGCATGTGCAGCCCGGGGGACGCTGCATTGTTGACATTGTGGGTGTCTTCGTCTGTGTGTCCTGCTCGACCGAGACTCGAGACCAACAGATTGACAGACTGAGAAAGATAGACCCAGACAGATAGGGCCATAGCGAAACGCTTCTTCACGCTTGGGCCCGGTTAACATTTCCTCGCGGCTCCGAGAGCACAAGTTGCTAGTTCCCGGCTCCGCAAGCGCAGGTTGCTGCCGAGCCGGTAGGGTGCTAATTACACACTTTTCCCATGCATGTCTGGCTGTATGTTTGCATGTATGTATGTCTGTGTGCATGGATGGATGTCTATGTCTGTCTGTGTGTGTCTGTTTTCCCTTTACTCTGTGCGGGTGGCTTCGACCGCGAAGCGGTGTGAATATCACGGTTAACATTTCAAGGAGAACCTGGATGAACCATTCTCTAACTAGAACAACAGGGCATTCACTTTGGTCTAGTAAATGCCAGCAAATGGTTGTGGCCAGGTGAAAACAAATGATGTCTAGAAAATGCCTAGCGCATTCTAGAAAAACACGACATCAAGACCGTATCTTCATGATCTTATGCCTCTCTAGGGAATGGTCTTGTACGGATTCCATTGTGAGTTAAATCAAACGAGTGTAAACAAAAAAACATGTTCTAGCAACAAGTGAAAACAACTAGAGATTTTCAACTATCAATGAAAAGCAGGAAAACATCAAGCAACCAATTTCTAGAGAGTAAGATCTTGTACAATCGAATATTTTTGACATGCACATACATACACCCTGACACAGCAACCGTTCCTCATGTCTTTTCCACTCAGTCTTTGCTCCCATGTTTTCTTTCTGGGCAACCATTTTTTTTGAGCATGTGACATGTGTTGCACTGTTTGCATATTAGACAGCTGCCCCTAGAAAATGGTGTCCTTATTGATTGTTGCTGCTTTGCCAAATGTCTAGAAAAAGTGCTCTTGTACCTATTTTCATATCCCATGAATTTTTAAGCATATGACAGCTATAGAATGTCCCGTAGGAATTGGTAAGGTATG